GCTTATAGTGGGTGGTATGAAGTAAAAGTAGCAAAAACGTGAATAAAAGAAGCAAAACACAAAACAAGTAGAACAAGTATAATCAAGCAATTGCATACTACAAAACTAGTCACAATATGCTCAAAATTTTTACTCAATAAAAAATAAAAAATTAATATAAAAAATATATTTTTAAAATTTTAATTTTTTATCTTTTCAATGAAATAAGAAACATATAAATTTGAATTACTATGAGCAAGTTATGAAGGTTTGAAAAATAATAAGTAAATAAGTATAAAATTAAGTAAATAATTTTTACCTCCAGAGTAATTTGTTTAAGTGATGAGGAGTTTGAGCCTCACTAAGGCTCACAAGTAATATATATGGATTCCTAAGAGAGGCCACAAAGCCTTAGTCTTATCTTCCTAACTACCTTTAAGATGCTACAAGCCATATAAGACTTGTGCACCTTCCTTCTTACAATGACTACACTAGCTGCTTGTCTTCCTATTTTCTATTAGTAAACTCCATAATTTTTCATTTTTAAATTTTTTAGGATATTTTAAAATATTGAATTAATATCGGAGCCTTGCGTGGCTTTCAAATATTGTTCCATTTCTTCATAATGTCTCCCGAAGTGATAAAATTCATTTTTACCCAAGTCTTGGAAATTACTCTAAAATTTTCTAAAAAATTATAAATAAATTCTAAATAAATTTTAAAATTCTTATAATGATTCTATAATATTAATATCAATTTAAGAATATAATTTCTTATCTTGATAATTTTTATAGTAATAAAATAAATTTAAATCTATTATAAATCTTACTTTCTACATAACTAACTAAAAAGACATGAGGTTCTTTTTTATGCTTCTTCTAACTACTAACTAATATTTATAGTTTTTCTTATAATTAATATATATAGATAAAAAAAATATAAATATTGACCTTAGTAACTAATCTTCACTACTCAATAATAAGTAAAAATCCTATACCAACTAAAATAATTACCTCCAAGACTTACTAAGACTCCATTTCTTCTTTTGTCCTAAAAAAATTAGTGAGGCAATTTGATGACTCACACATGGCAACCATTGGAAATGACTTATAAAGGAGAAGAACCTAAAATTAACCTCTAAAAAATCTATTGAATAAAAAGAGGCTTTATCTACATAAGGTTTTAATACTATTCAATATAAGAATAAGTGAGTTGCTACTAATCTAAGAAAATTAAAGTAAGTTTTTTTTTATAAATTTAAGTAAAAAAAATAGAAAAAATTCAAATCTAACCTTTAAAAAACTTAAGATTTTAGAAAAAAGAACCTATGCTAAAGATTTAAAAGGTGGTATCTTGGGACTCCTCCTCACATGAAAAGATTTTAGTATCAAGTCTTTAAGGCCTATACATCCATTGAGTGTGCAATATTGGTCTTTCTTAGACTAATACTAGCTCAATAGGATAGCTTGTTTTTTTTCCAACCAGATTTGAATCTGAGATCCTTTTCTAACAATTTTTTACTTGACCAAAAATTCTACAATCCAAAGATGGTTAACGAGAGTTAACCACTATTTCCTATCATCCTAATTTTTTTTATTTTTTTATTTTTTGAAGAACTAAATTAAATAAAAGTCAAGATGAATGAATAGATTAATACTAGTCTTAAATCCTCGAGTTTTAGTTCTCTAAATTCTTCCCAGTTTTGATGATTTGTTACTTAAGGAATGAAATCAAAGTGAATTTAAAGATGAGACATTTGATCATGTGTATGATAAAAATCATACTCAATATTTTTTACCTCTATTTCTAGAAGTTTTGGTAAGAAAATCTTCTCCATTGAGAGTTTGTAACCAAACTGAATTCTTTGAAAAGACTTCTTTGACTAGATATGGTCTCAACCATATAGCATCAAATTTTCTTGAAAAATCTAATCTCCTATCATCTTGTAAAAGGACCAACATGCTAGGCCTAAAGATTTTAATCTGATGTTGTTTATCAAAGGCAATTTTCTTTCTTCTTTGTATTGCCTTCATTAATTGGAATCCCACCTTAATGAATTTTGAATCCTCATTTTTCAAAGTTACATCTATCAATTTGTAATCAAGGTTGTGCACATGAGATTTTCCTATGGATTCTCTATATCAATTGTTTGGCATTTGTGGGTAGATGGCCACATCATTTTCAGCCATAAGACCATTGAAAGTTTGTTTAAATTGTAGAGAGGGATTAAGGCCAAATTCTTCAATTATGTCTTCTAATTCTTAGCCTTGAGTGCCATCAAAGTTCACCCCAAAGACGACTTCAATTTTTATGTCATCTACTAAGGTTGCTAAATCGACTTCTACTTCATTTTTTTGCCAAGTAACAAAATCATCTATATAGTTGACATTCATTACTTCTTTTGCAATTGAAATAGGGTGTTTTGCTAACCATTGGGAAAATTTCTCGTCATCTTTTCAATCGTATAATCTAGGGCCCATGTAATGGAGTGGGATAGGTTTAACTATCTTATATTGAATCCACTCATTTTCCTCCAAATGAACAAATCTTACTTTTTTCTTCCATTCTCTTTTAGGTTGATGAGTGTAAGTTTCATCTTCATCAAAACTAATAGGAACTCTTTCTAATGGTAAACCTAGGAGTTGAATGAAGATTTTTGTAAGATTTTTTGGAAGGCCATAAATGATATGAGATTTTTTTCTACCCCAATCAATTTTTGCTTTAGCCGCCCTCAACTAAAGTCTACCTGATAGTAATGGGTAAGAATTCTTACTCAGATGCATATGAATAATATAAAAAGTGAGAGAATACTCCTCATCACTTGTTATTACTTTACATCCACTAATTTGGCCTAGAGAGGTGTCTTAGCTTTGATTAGCCATGTTAATTACATAGAAAAAAGGACTAATTATAATAAGGCCCAACTTCTCCATCGTTTATAGGAGCATTATATTTAATCTACTATTGCCATCCACAATAGTGTAAGGTATGATTTTATCTACTATAGATACTTCTAATTTTATTGCTCTCACTTCTTAAGCCACTTGAATCATTATAACATGAGTTTGGATTTTTTCTTAGATCTTTGGTATTTTTTTGTAAAAAAATTATTATTTTTTAAATAAATTTCTAAACATCTATGTATATACATATATAAGTTATTGATAATAAATATATATATATATATATATATATATATATATATACATACTTAAAACAAGAAGTTGGCACAATATCTTTCAAATTTTAAAGAATTATTTATTTTTTTATTTTTTTTATTCAATATATATATATATATGTATATTTGTAGTATATAAATACTATTAAAAAATATAATTTAGTAGATCTTTATAATAAAGAAAAAATATTAAGAGGTGATAACTTTTAATTTTTTTGATTAGTTAAAAATAAGAAGGCTTATTTAATTGGAAGTTATTTAGAAATTTAATCCAAAGGCTCTAAGAAGAAAACTTTGTGGTACAACAAGTATGTATATATGTATGTGTGTGTATGTGTATTTACATTATTGCAAGAATCTATGCCATTGAGCACAAAAAAACTATATTATATAAATATGTAAAGCCAAATATTAAAAAAAATTATAAAAATATCAACCTAAGAATAAAAATGAAATTCAAATAACAATAGAACCATTTATGTTTTTTTAGTGGTATTAGTAAAGGCAATTCTTACATAATTCAATAGTTTAAATAACTAATTTAATGAGCTTTATAATAAACTATATTTTTTGTGGTGTTTTTTACTTAAATATCTTTGGAATAAAGAATCTTGATTGTATTTGAAAAAGTGCATTGTGAAAAAACAACGTTCAATGAGAAAAATGAAACATATATGATAGTACAACATGTGTTTTTATATTGTAAAAGGACAACATATGTAAAAAGAAAACATACATAAATGAACAACATATGTTGTCACATTGTGAAAGGACAATATATGTTTATGGCCAATGAGAGGGGGGGGTTTTTTTTTTTAAAAAAATCTTGGCCAATAAGAAGGCCTTTTTATATCTTTGTCTTATAACTAAGTTTTCTTATCATATATATATATATATATATATATATATATATATATATATTATATTATCTATTTTATTTTTAGTAAGTCCACCTCAAGAGTTGGTTTCAACAAAAATCCACATGAAATTAAAATTTCTAATTACATGATAATTTACACAAAAATTTGCCAAAGTTATATGACAAATTTTAAAACTATTCATATAAAAATAAAAATAAAAATTATATTAATTATTATTATTAGAATCAAGGTACAATATAAAATATTTACACTCATTATAATAATAATAACTTCATGTATTGTATAACCTCTTCTTCCTTTATACCATTCCCAAAAAACCAAGACTTCCAAAGGAATTTTTTTCATCCCTAAACAAAAACATATTTGTAATATTCTTGGATCATGGTCTATCAAAGTGGGCTTCAATAACAATTGTTATAATTATTGTTACTTTTCAATTTATACAATAGCAATCACATCATCATGCTAAAAGATATGTGCAGACACACCATATCGTGTTATGTATATGTTTATTGAATATTCTTCCTTTCTTCAAGAAGCAGAGGGAACAGCCAGGCACCACTTCCAGAATTTTTGCACGTTGGGAACAAGGGTACACGTGTCCGGACGAGATTGGAAGCTGCCAGAGAGCAAGGCAGTTCCGTGTGGAATCCATGTTAGTGGGTGATCCTGAACCAACAGGGCTCCCATGGGAAGAGTTATGTCACGATGTACTTTACACATCTCGTTGGGCTAGGAAAGGGGAGGAAAGCAGGGTTGGGTGAGATTCATAATGGACAGCTAGGCTTGCCACCTCAACCTGAGTAAGATCCACCTCAGCGTCCGACGTGGCCGATGTGAGGTAAGCACCCACGAAGCGTCAGCCGTGACCTCCTGACGACGCCACGCCCCGCCACGGCACGCAAAGCATGCTTCTCATCAGCATCACCACGGTATTCCATTCAATCCATCGTGAAGGAATTGAACGCTCGCAGCGGGGGCTCATTACAATTCCATTTCGCCGATCCGATTCCAACCGCCTCCGAGAGCAAGAATGCGCGGGACCCACCTCGTTGATTTGATCCCACTCCACTCTGCTGTCGTCTTAATTCCGCTCTCTCGACGCCCCACCCTCGTCTTTGGTTTCGACTCTGCCAAACACGTGAATCCCATCTTTGCTGCACCTTCACTGTTGAGTACTTAGCGAGATCTCTTTTACTTTCCTTCTTTTTTGGTAATTGGCAATTTTATGGGAATTTTTTGTGGCAGTTTCTTGGGATGGGCTGCAGATCTGATGAGTGGTCCCCGGCGTTTTACCGTAGTTGTTGCATGGGTTTTGTGATGGAAGTTGTCGTAATTGGCAGGAGGAACGGGGTCTTTGCAAGTGGGTGGGGGGCAATGCAACCCCATGATGTTAGACGCCTGTCCTTTCCTTTCACATGAATGATTCATGGTCTGTGTGTTAGGGCAGCGTCGGGATCTATGCAGTTGTTACCGCTGGTATACCATTTCTTTAGTGCGGCCGTCTGTAACCATTGCCATTCCATCTGGCTCTCTCTCTCTCTCCCTCCCTCTTTGTTCTACTCGATCATTCGTCAATTGCATGTGCCACGTTTGGTTCGTAGCTCATACTTGTCTTCTTGGAGTAACACTGCTGCGCTTGGGCCCAGATTTCAGCAGGTGCTTTGTGAGTGTCAACGGCTGCTGGGTTGAGCTGTCTCTTTGAATGCTCGCCGTGAAACTGCAAGCACTTCTCCACGTCACAGCTTCGAACACCCAAGAACTGTACGTGAAGTGCGGGTCGCTTTCGTAGCATTTCTTTCGATTTCTGGTTTTTGTTGGTTTTCTGTCGTTTGCTGCACTGTGTTGCTCATATTCACGTGTAATGTACAAGGTTTACAGATATGCATCGCGTGTTGCTTGAATTTCCTGCAATCGAATGAATTGTAAAGTCACTCTGCTCCATGTGAATCACCTGAGTCCGCAAAAATTACAATGCGTAGTTAGAAGAATCATGATCATCGTCAAAGTTGATTGCGTATTATGGATTCCTCATGTTGGACAGAAAGTATTAAAAAAAATTGGGATGCTCTCAAAACTCTGTGTTCTCGTTCAATTCGTTATTTTGATGGTTGAAAGGGGTAGCTGACTAACTTAGATCGGCTTGCCTTTAATTTTCTGGAGAAATGATATTTTCGAAGATATTTACGTAGTGGTCTTCATGAATTGGGTGCGAATCGCTCATTGATTGTTTGTGGAGAGATTTTTAGTCAGATGTTTAAGACCTTACTATTCGTCCGCAGGGTCTGTGTTTGCAATCTCGGTTGAAGGGAATGGCAACGAGGGTGTAATCTGAGAAGTATTGGCTCCGCATTGTGAATGTTAGAATTGAATGACTTATCAGAGATGGTACGCTCTTATGTCATGAAATCGATCGAGATTAAAGATTTTGAAATTATTCCCAACTTTTCTCTCTCAGGCTCTTGGACCTAAAAGCATTTATACTGAATTTGCTTGAAGTTCAGTGAGACTTGTTGCGTGTGGAAGAAAGCTTCACAGTTCGCTCTGAAAAGCTAACATCGGTTGGTAGTTCTTGAGGTGAGAGGTCCTGTCTCCATTCATCCTTCACATTGACCCTCTGGATCCAGGTTTGAGCATTGTTATTCTAGTTGTGGTAATTCACTAATTCAACTATATATCGAAGTAATTTGCCACAGGTAGTCTAGACTGACAGAAGATTTTCCAAAAAACGGCCGTCGAACAGAATCACTTTGCTGTTCACAAGGAATCTAGGTCTATATAGCATGTTGGTTATGTGTTTGCTCAATGATTATGAAGTCGGCGGTGAAGTTTTTTCTGATGCAATTAAGTGCGATGTACGTCCCAATCTGTGCTAAGAAGTGTTTACATCTGCTTGTCCTCAAGACTTTCAAGTTCAATGAAAGGAATGACAGATCAAGAACCGCCACCTCAACGAGGTAATGGTGTTGTAGGTGTGCTCAGAGAGCAAAGTAGCATTTGGGAAAGACGCGCCCCTTTATCACCTCACCATTGTGCCAGACTTTTAAAAAGCGGGGTGAAACGGATACTGGTGCAACCGTGTTCTAAACGAATATACCGAGATGCAATTTATAAAGATGCTGGTTGTGACGTCACAGATGATCTCTCAGCTTGTGGCCTCATCCTTGGAGTTAAACAACCCAAGGTACAAACTTTCTCTGCCCTGTTTAGTACAAGGTAAAATGTTGATCAAACTCCCTTTCAAGAATTTTATTCTTGCATGGGAGTGTTGTAGAAATTGGTATTTTAGTTTCTCTTCATGCTGGTATTAAACGTTGCCGTGGTTGTGATGAAGGCTGAAAGCTTGCTACCGGACAGATCTTATGCGTTCTTCTCTCATACGCACAAAGGACAGCCAGAGAACATGCATTTGCTTGACAAGGTTTCCACCTTCACTTCGCGTTCCTGATTTTCTTCAGATTCAGTTGTCGCCAAAAGACGTAGTTATAGAATTCATGAGGGTCATTGTTCCTGGATGCCTTCTGTAACAGGTGCTGGAGAGGAGAATCTCCTTATTCGACTACGAACTCATCAAGGATAGCAATGTGAGGTCTGTGTATTTTGGACAGTTTGCGGGATACGCTGGCATGATTGATGGCCTTCGTGGCCTTGGCGAATGTAAGGGAAAAGAAATATACTTTAGAACCACATTCAACCTCAAGGTTCATCAAATTACTTGCATCACGTGGTGTTTCATTACTGTACGTTTTCTTGTTTTAGGGGCTAGAAAGCGAGTAACACACATTCATCCGAAGCATTTCGCTTACCATGCTTAGCTTTTCTGCTGACAGGGTTATTGAGCCGAGGTTATTCCACTCCGTTCCTGTCCATTGGCTCGACGTATATGTACACGAGCTTGAGCGTGGCCAAGCAGGCTGTGCTTGCAATTGGAGAGGAGATCAAAACTTCCGGACTTCCTCCAGAGATTTGTCCTCTCATATTTGTTTTCACTGGAGCTGGAAATGGTACATTTACTACCACAGCAGAACTTAATTCTCAGTGCTCGAGCATTTCTGAGATCGTTTCTGAGATCGTTTGAGATCATTCCACTCTGTTCAGACGAGATGTGTTTTTCCAGAACCTCCAGCAAAATTATTCCACCAGAAATCTCCCCTACATTTGATGCGCAACTTTCATCATGTCAACTGCAGATTGAGTTCAAATTTGTCAAGTTGTAAATATAGTTTATTCAACGATTCAGGGTTTCGGGACTCACTTGTAATTTGATGGTTCCTTTCATGATTGCAGTCTCACAAGGAGCTCAGGAGATTTTGAACCTGTTACCCCATGAATTCGTACACCCATCCAAGCTTTCCGAACTCACTGATACTTCACCTTCTAAGGTACGATTTGAAATTCTATTTTCAATCTTTTAGGTATTAAGTGAACTGTTCAATTAATCGCTCTGCAAATGTCACAGTGATTACTTATCGTCGGAATAATTCAAGTAAGGTCGAGGAGGTTCAAGCAATTCCTGTAATCTCTTTCAGCCATCAGTTTACTGATAAGAAATGTGATTGGTGGCGCTGCTGTTTGTTGGAATTGTTGAGGAAGGGAGTTCCGTAGACCATTGCACTGATTCAAGAATTGGGTCCACTTCCAGGTGCCAGTCAGAGGAGTTAACTTCAAAGTCTATGGTTGCGTGGTCGCGTCAGAGCACATGGTGGAACGTAAAATTCCTGGCTCTGGTTGTTTTGACAAGGTTTTGCTTCAGACCTTGTTTTAATTTCAACTTCATGCGTTCATCACCTATCATATAATCCGTCAGACGGAAGGAATGTGCTTTTCGATATTGTTTAGGGAAAAAACCTTTGTTTTTGATTATGTCTAGGGGAAGACGATTATTACATGCTAATTTTTGTCATCAGTAAGTGGGGCGCATTCTTAGGTCCCAGTAGTGGATCAAAGGCAGATGTTCAGGTTCCAAGTTTCGTACACGAATGTCTTCAAACTTATATTTTGAAATGCTCGCAGCACCACTACTACGAACACCCAGAGGAGTACTCGCCAGTGTTCGCAAAGAACATCGCTCCTCACGCTTCTGTTCTTGGTAAGTAGATTTCGCACACTTCTTGGAACGTTGATGACCTGCATTCTAAATCTGTATTGGTTAGACTTGGGGTAACTGCCTTTCAAGTCAACGTGATATAAAGTCCCTCTTATTAGGTAGTAAAGTCATTAAACGCGACGGTTCGATGGGATTGATTTGGGTTAGGTTTTTTTGTTATGCCACCAACTACCGTTTTTCTAGGCCAGCTAATGGATAATTACTACAGATGACAATGCATTATTATCATTATTATCATGACAACTATTTTTATTTTCTTTGGGGGTTACCTAAAAAGTTCGATCCCCATGTATCGCTGAGGATTGCATTCGATTATGCAGTGAATTGCATGTACTGGGAGCAAAGGTTTCCAAGACTCCTCACAATCAAAGAATTGTTGGACCTTCGCAGTAGTGGACGGAGCCGACTGCAGGTCGTAGTTGATATTACCTGTGATAAAGGAGGTTCTATTGAGTGCCTGAAGAAGTACAGTTCAATTCAAAAGCCCTTTTTCAGGTTCGTGAGCCGCTAAGCATGATAAAGTCCGTTTCTATCATGCTGGTACAAAAGCTGAATCAAAATCTTTGGTTCGAGAGTTGGTATGGTATAAAGTCCAGTCACACCCACCTTCGCATATGTCAAATTTGACCTCGCAAATTTTTGTTCTTGTTCCTTTTGCAGGTATAACCCCGAGAATGATAGCACCGAAGATGACATGGACGGGGACGGTATTCTATTCATGGCCGTGGACTGCCTCCCAACAGAACTTCCAAGAGAGGTTTGGCTTCTGTTTATGTTTTAGCATGCGATTTTGGGACAAACTTGTGCGTCATGTGCAGGCCTGACATTGTGATCTACTCTACAGTCCACGAAGCATTTTGGAAATGCGTTGTTTCCATTTTTGGTCAACCTCGCAAACGCAAAAACGTTGGCTGAAATTCATGTTCCGGTGCGCGATGCCTGTATTGCTCACGAAGGCAGCCTTACGGAGATGTACAAGTATATCCAGAAATTGCGCGAGGCCAATGCCAGGTATGTCTTCCACGCTCTGCTATGTTGACTTTATCCATCGACCTTTAGGCACGCATTAATGTTTTTATCATAATCTTAAAGAGAGTATACTGTAGGTGTAACTCTTAAGTATAGAAGTGAGCGTGTTAGTTGTGTCAAGGGCAGCTTCGTCCGAGTCTGAATCCAGAGGAATTGGCCCTATTCACTTTCTAGGGCCATTTTGGCCAAAGCCTGCTTGGCTCCGTCTTAACACAGATAGGCCAAAGAGATGAAAAAAACGCAAAGTTAAGTTCGAAAAAAATATAAAGACTGTTTTTGCTATCTATTTAGGCGCGCGGTATAACAGCCCAAGCAACCAAACTTAACATAAACGTAATTACCGGATCAAGGAATGACCTAAGATTAAATTTATTGCTGTACCAACATTTTTGCGACATAGTGTGGTCTACAAGTATCTGCTTAAACAATGGGAGTTACTGTACTGGGATGGAAATCCAATTGTGTAGAGGCGTCTTGATTATAGTTATGTTTCATTGCAGCAAAACGCCACTGCTTCAGGAGAGGGAGGGCATGAGTAATAGTCCGATTTCCACGATTGTAAGCTCTACTACTCCATTAAAGTGGCATGCTACTTCAGATGAAAGTTTCAACCTTGTCAAGTCTCAAATATGGTCTCTTGCTGACCCTTCCGATCCTGTACATTTTGTTATGTGTGCTCAATAATGGACTTTTGAAATCTAGTTCAATGAAATCACCTAAGCTGACATGGATTGCTAAGAGGATGCCTGACTTCCTGATGTCGTAGTTCTTAAGTCACGTCCCAAATCATGGACTATTTATTTCTGATTTGAATGTAGGTATGTTCAGATGTGAAGGTGACTTTTCTTAACATTATCTTGCAATATGTAGCACGACTCTTGCATTGTGATTTGTCAACGGTATCAATGTCAACCTTCTGTGCCATTTTAACTTTTGAACTGAGCTCTAAATGGATGTAGGTGTCATTGAGTGGTCACCTTTTCGACCAACATCTTATCAATGAAGCTCTTGATGTGATCTGCGCTGGAGGGGGGCGTTATCGACTAGCAACTTGCAAGCTTGGCCAGTCAGATGACGAAACCTCCTGTGCAGACCTGGAGGTAACCTGCTATTTGATTTCCTCAGACTTTTCGTAACCGCAACAGTTAGTGCGAAACATACTTCACCAATGTCTAGCTGAGAGCATTAATTGGCTTTGACGAAATTTTGGATCACGTGTTACACTTTCAGTCCTCTTTGATGCCTCGTTGAACCATGTCCTGGACTTTTTGGACTTCTTACTTGTGAAGGCATTTGGGTTTCGACCTCGATTTATTTGAAGCCGTTCATGTGCTCATCCCGAATTACAGGATGGAAATCATCATCAGCTTAATGTATTTCGAATGATGTGCACAGGTTACAGCCGGCAGCCAGGATGCACTGAACTGCATCGTTGACAAGCTGGCTGAAATTGCGGTTAAGGGATCAAACATTCGACATAGAGAATTGGAGGGTTCTAGAGATATATCCGAATCAAATGAAAACGGAATTGCTTTAGAGAAAAATTATCAAGTGCTCATTTTGGGAGCCGGTCGCATGTGTGAACCAGCGGTGAGGCACTTAACATCAACCAAACGACGGTTTCGGTTCAGAGAGGCCTCTTATGTGGACAATGGTTTGGTTGATGAGTGTGTTTCGGTGGTGGTGGCTTCTTTATACATTGAAGATGCTCAGAGGGTACGATTCCTAACTTCACCAATCTCTGGCAGATGTTAACTTTTGCAGCACGATAAGCACGAAGTTATGAATGAGTAGTAATCACTGTGGTTCAAATCAGAGCTTGTGGCTCGGAAGCTCACTATAGCATCCATGTTTGTGGGGTCACAGGTGGTTGCAGGTGTTCCTAACGCTTCGGCCATAGAGCTGGATACATCAGATACTCAGAATCTGGGGGATTGTGTTTCCAAGGTAACGCGAGTAGTGCTTGCTCGAGTCTGTTGTCCTCCACAATTTTGGACATGGCAAGTACTTATGGAAGTGATGTATGCTGAAGTGCTTTAGTCATGAAGTTAACTCCGTTTGCTTCAATTTTGTACTGATGTTCTATTCTCAACTGAGATTTTTGGAAAGCTTTTAGCTCTGTTTTTCTTGGGTTGATATGCGTATGCGTGAAGCAGGCAAATGTGGTGATTAGCTTGCTTCCGGCCGATCTTCATCTCCCCGTGGCGACTGCCTGCATCAAGGTAAGTTTCTCAAGTCCTTGTCTATAGTATAATCTCTTTTCACAACTGATTTTAGACGCCTGGGTCAAAAAACAGTCTCCAAGACAGGATATCCTCTTCTTTAGTTCTCACCAATATTATCAGCCCTTAGTGGAAAATAAATCAATTCTTCTGTAGGGTAGTTTTCTGGAAGGTCGTCAGTCTAAATTATGCTAAGACCCTCTACCAATGCAACTGGTTGAACAATATTCCTGAAATTGTAGCATTATCGAACAGTGTTACCATGACACTTTCACTAACTTCTTTGGAAAAGATTCCATGTGTATTTTTGAGAAGTTTGATGTTATTGTACGAACTTTGAGTTAGAAAGTCTGTGTCAACGTATCGAGACAATGATTTTCTATTAGATTCATGGCTACTTTCGTTTTCCTTCCTAAACAACGCAGTTCAAGAAGCATCTAGTGACAGCAAGTTATGTCAGCGAAGCTATGCAAGCCCTGGATAAGATGGCGAAAGAAGCCGACGTGACTCTACTTTGTGAAATGGGCCTGGATCCTGGCATAGGTATTTTGCCCTACTTAATATTTGCTAGATGACTCTTCTGATTGTTATCTCTGAAGAGGTGCGTAGCAAAATTATTATCTTGCCTACCTCTCATGTTTCTATCACAATTCTGCCTCTAATTATGTATTTATGCGCAGATCACTTGATGGCTATGAAGATGATAGATTCGGCACACAAGAGAGGGGGTCGTGTGCAGTCTTTCGTTTCGTACTGCGGAGGTCTTCCGTCTCCAGAAGCTGCAAACAATCCTCTTGGTTATAAGTTCAGGTCTGCAGATCAGCTCATCAAGAATCGTCATCAATTGCAGTGTTATTTCTTCCTAATTGTATTCAAATTTTTGAATGGTTTCGAACACTGCAAGTCTTGATGCATTGAGGTATAGATTCTGTTACATACAATTGCTGTGATTATAAGGACTAAGATCCATTTAATTTCGCGCTTAGTAGTTTGAAATCTTGAACTGTCTATGGCAGTTGGAATCCTGCTGGAGCAATTAAGGCGGGACGCAACCCTGCCGTGTATTTGATGAATGGTCAAAAGATTGAAGTTCCTGGTGAAGCATTTTTGACCTTATCTTGCCTACCCTTGTCCACCGGTATCATCTTTGCAAAATGTCAGATTTCTTTTAGCTTTCTGTGTCACTGAGGTGATTGGTTTATATGCTTCCGTGCAGGGGAAAAGTTGTTTGCTGCAGCCTTGCCAGTACGGTTACGAGACACACCAGCTTTCGCCCTTGAAAGGTTACCAAACAGAGATTCTCTGAAGTATGGTGAGCTGTATGGCATCTCCAAGGAAGCCTCGACCATATTTCGGGCCACCCTTCGGTATCAAGGGTTTAGTAAGGTTATGGATGCGTTAGGCGAGCTGGGGTACTTTGACACGGATCTTCATCCATTGTTGGATCCCGGTGCTTTACCAGTTCCTGACCAACCGACTTATAATGCCATGCTGGATGCCCTCTTGTTGCAAATGTTTCACAAGATGAATGAGCCAGAGAAGCGAATGATGCTCAATGCTGGTGACAGAAACTCGCTTTCACATGCATTGGCGTATCTTCCTTGCTGCAAGAATAACCCCTCTGCTGTCGAGGATGCTGCTGCATGCATTAGGCAAGTTTCATCGTGCGCCTTTAAGGATTATTACCACATTTTGTCTGTCTCTGTTCTTAAACTCTGATTCCACAAGCAACCACAAGATCGTTGTGAAGGGATTCTCGCGTTCACTATGAATTGGGAGTGATAGCAAGAGGATCAGAATTTAAGGTCATGGGCATCTTTTTGAATTTGTTTGCGCGATCATTAATTCATATATTTGTATTAACAGGTGGCTGGGCCTTGATGCGCTGGAGCAAGTACCCAAATCTTGTAAAAGCATATTTGAAGTGCTCTGTAAACGAATGGAGGAGAAGCTCACATATGGGCCTGAGGAAACGGTACTAAACTTTGTTTTGTGATATTTAATATTTTATAGATTTTTGTCTGGACTTTGATTCAGGTTTTTGTCAATAATGTTCAAACACCTGGATGATTGTTACAGGATATGGTGCTTCTGCACCACGAGTTGGACGTGGAATTAAATGGACAGGTGGAGCGGCACACGGCTACATTATTAGCTTTTGGGGAAACTGCAGAAGGATGCAGTCAAAGAAGGCCCGAGTCAGCTATGGCGCGGACTGTAGGTATACCAGCAGCAATTGCAGCTGAGGTACGTTGTATCGGAATAAATGTACTATTATCTGCATTGTTACGCAACTCCGTGTTTCTGTTGATGATGATGCTTCTGAACTTGGGTTCTGAAAGGCTCATGCTTGTGTAGAAGCTTTCACTGTGAATTAATACAGTCTACTGCGTAGTGAAATGATGTAAAAGTTAATTTGAATTGTAATTTGGCAATATTAGAAGAACTGAAGACCGGCTAGAGTGTAAAACTGAGTCGCGTTGAGAGAGGACTTTATAAGGACCTGGAAACAATACTGGTGGTGATAGATTGGAGTTAGACACCGTCAAGAAAATATCATTCATGATAAAACTCGAGTGGTTAGACCTGGCTAATATCTAACGCTAAAGAGCTCTGACTGGATGAGTTCCTTCGAAAAGTCTCTTCAAAGGTGATGACAATTTGAAGTACACTAATCGTAAATGACTCGAATTGTGCATCTTGGGAGCAGTTACTGCTGTTTGGTGAAGTGAAGACTAGAGGTGTTCTCCGTCCACTGACCGCAGAAATTTATGAACCAGGTACAGCTAGGCAGATTTGGTATTTCATCTTGTTTTCTTGTTTACCGTTGATTATGCTTCATATCTGTTTCTAATTGACTGTCTTGTGCAGCTCTGGAGGTTCTGAAGACCATGAAGTTACCATTGGTTGAGCACGTTGAGTTCTTGTAGGTAAAGGAAGCCATAACACTGGCTCTTATTGAAATGAAACGCACAAGCTGGTAGCCAAAGTTTATTGCCAAATATTATGGTGCTTATTCCAAATATGATAGAACCTAGACAAGGTGAGTACACTGCAGCAGATGAATCTGAACGTGATGACAAATCTGGGTATAGGCCTGCTGACTCGAGTGACGCTCGCTAAGACAGATGAAATGTACATAACAGGCTAATTTTTAGTAAAATAGACCAACTATGAAAGGGATGGAGCTGAGACGCCATTGAAAATTGAAGGGAATCTACTTCCGCCAGATGAATGCAAGCTTAAGTTGACTTAGTGCCAGCCAATTCGACTTAAATTTGTTCTGTGGAATGTCTTAAATTGCCCTATCAAAGGGTGCCTGCATTTCACACATGGTACTTTTCTTGATAACCTCTAGCCTCAACCAAGTTAGGAAGGATATGCAACTTGCCTGTAGCCGTTCTATGCACTCACTAATTCTGACATTGAGAATAAATACCGATTTCTTCTGTCCATGCCCACACCAACAGGAATTTCTAGTGTGTGAAAAGGAATAGAGTCCTGTGTAACGGGTAGTCCGCAGGGTCACAGCCGTGAGTCCGTAACACTTCCAGGTTCAACACGAGCATGTTTCTCTTTGATAGTGAAAAAATTGGGAAAGACATTATTGTCGGTCGTTGAGGATAATGTGTTCAAAGAGGATGATTGTTATAACGTCAAAACCATCCCTGGTCGGTGTGGTCCGCAGGAGTGACTGCTAAGGTGTATGTGTAACTGGCTTCATCACATGATTGCACTCTCGCTACTGTTTTTAAGCTCGTTTCACATTCCGTGGGTACAAGAAAGACCGGCGATTTCAATTGAAGGAAGATGTACAATGAGAAGTTTCAACAAATCCTGTAGATAGCCTTCCACGAAGCAGTATTTGTTATTTCTCGCACTAATTGAGAATGCTCAAGTGTGATTCGTCCATATGTCACAAAAAAACCGTAACGTTTTCGCATTTCTTCCAACAAACCCTTTCAGAAAGTATAATCTTAATCACACACGTAGACTGAACCTTCCGAGGTTCAAGCCCAGAGAACACAGAGCTGATTACGCTAGGCGTGTGTATTTGGTGTAGACCAGACATCAGATGTACCTCAAAAAAGGCATCGAAGTAGAAGCGAAGGGATTAGTTTGAGGATTGGGGTGTTGAGTTCCGGCGTTACGAATGTAGCCGTGGTGGAAAGATTGTCTCATGTTGAGCACGGGAGCGTAATTGCAACTAATTGTACTATTGCGAAGATAAACCCTCAGCTTTCTTGAGATGAACTGGAGTAAAACCAGTCAGGATGATTATTAAATCGATAGGTTGTCGTGTAACAGATATTGCAACTGGATTTGTAACATATACATATATATATTACGAACCAGACAACACACCCACGTCATGAGAGTCTGCACCAAACTCAGTGTGGGTTACAGCTACCAAGGCACATAATTTGGCATGCGGATTTTTGCACCAAAATGTATTAAAAACGACACAGAACGATCCATTTTAGATTTGCCTAAATGACCAAACTCACCAGCCGAAAATGGTAAAAATGCACGAAACTGCTGTCTGTCTCATTTCTCAAAATCGTACTGACGAATCATATCCAACGAACTGCATCCCCCAAAAACAAGACAAAAAGAAACCTACATGTTTTCACACATCAGGACTGAGTCGATTTTCGATCCATCAATACAGTCACTATCCACTGCCAGCACTATTTGCCAGGAAATCTACCGATCTACGATCATATCTATATATATATATATATATAAGTGAGTTATGTGAGTTATTTCCAGGCCTCACAACATCTATACAGTCTTACTACAAGGGATGTTGCAAAATTACGATGAACAAAGTTAAGACACAAGAATATCTTCGCAATCCGTAAATAATCGAGTAGTTTGAAAGAAAAACAAAATTCATTTACATTCCAAAGCCTTTGGCAACAATTTCGACAGATTCCGGAGCAGATCACTCCTCCACACGCAACCATGTTACAAGGATTCTATCCTGTTCTGTAGCTCCTGCCTACACTCTAGTGGATCTTCAGGTTCGTCAGCACGTTGTTGTGCACGGGGTCCGCCAAGTGGTCCAGTAGGTTCTGGAACGGGCCCACGCCTGTGAAGATGGCCTGGGTGAAGTACCCCAACACCGCCATCATCGCCAACCGCCCGTTCTTGACCTCCTTCACCTTCAGCTCCTGCAACTCCTTCTCGTTCTTCCCGAATCCCAAGAAGTTGAAGATGGGCCCTCCTGGGTACGCCGGGTTGCCCGATCCTCCCAAAAACTTCTCCAGCCCCAAAAAGTACTGCTTGCCCATCGATCCGGGCTTGTAGTAGTCCTGCGCGCGTCGGTGCTCCGCGAATCCCATCAACGCCATCTCCAGCACGAACAGCGTGTACGGGTCGGCCCAGTAGCTGTAGTTGCCCACGGGCGGGATCACGCCGCTCTGGAACCACGGGATGGCGGTCTCCTGCGGGATCAGCCCGATTCTCCCCAGCACCTCAGGTGCGATGGCACCGGCCGCTCCCAGCATGGCGAACCGCCCGTTGATGATCTCGGCGTATGGGAGCCACTGGGGGTCGATGAAGCCACCGGCACCCTCGGGGTCCATCAGGCCCAACGGATCAAACCCATAGTCGCCGGGCAAGCTGCATCGGAACCCACAGACGAGCACATTAGGGTGCTACTGGACGGTAATCAAGCACGCATGTAAGTTGAACAATCAGCTGGGATGTGCATGGGCTGGAAAATCCCCTGTAGGACACTGAGTGGCAGATTTACTCACGTGCCATCAAGGTAAGACAGGCTTTGCTTGGAGGCAAAGATCAGGCTCCTCTTGCTCCCACCCTGCAACCAGCGGAGATTAAATTACTAAGATACAGGTGCACCACCCAGATCGCAAGTATGCATTTGAGCGTCGAATCGAACAGCAATGAAATCTTGGATGGCTCACATGCACCTCAATTGTACAGCAAACTGATGGGTTAACGCGAAGAGGGACTTACAGTGGGGCTGAGCTGGGCTTTCGTCACGACAGTCTTGGCGGAGGATGAGGCTTTCTTGGACACAACATAGAAGGTTGATGGCAGGTTAGTTCCGAATACTGCACTTCTCTTCCCCTCCTGCGCAGGTGCATTCCGTATACGTCATTAATTTCAGTCTACCCCAAGGGAGTCGCCTCCAAACTTTTAAGAAGTTCCTCAACCTGAAACTCAGTGATGTGGATCAACTGCTTGCCACTATCTCAACTATGAGGTCAGAGGTTGTGGTCAACTCAGAAGGTTGTGGTCAATTTGCACAACCACCGCAGATGTGAACAAGTGAGGAAAACGAGTCTACGGACTCGATGTTATCAAGAAAGAATTTCTTTATCATGCAGTGGCTGTTCGACATCACATCTCGGCAACTGATCTCTACGCTGGTATGGTATAGTGTGAAGTAGTGCGCAGGAGATCGTCACCAGAATCGCTTGTAATAATATCTTAACCCCAGCATTCAGGGAGGGGGGCTATCGCATCTATAGACCTGAAGAATCATGAATTGAAGCGGCGAGACAGCATTGAATCGGAGTGGTAAATTGAAAACCCTCACATGCTACAAAGAGTCAAATTACAGGCCGTGTGGAGGCGGGGTTGCGCATTGACCACCGCATCCAAGAATTCAGGTTCTTCTTTCAACCACTCACTCAACTCCACAAATTTGAGCACTATAACTTATGAAAAAATGATTGTAAGCTTGATGAACTACACAAGAGACATCGCATTCAACGCCGAAGCCATCAAACGACAGGGCTAAGCAGCGAATTCCACCTTGGTTCCAGTCACGGTTTACGCAAGCCATACATCAGTTCATACGCGTTTCTAGATCGGCACCTCGCAAACGTATCTGTATAGAAAAAGACATGATTCGGCTATTGTGGCAGTCCTTCAGAATACAGCAAACTTACAAAAGCGCTGGGGGAAACTTTCGCAGCGAAGGAGGACACAGCGCATCCTGCAGCCACCCTAGTCGCCATCGCTGAGCACACTTGAACTCCTGCTACCCTCGATTCGATACACGATAATGGGCTCAAAAACACTCCGATCGAGGGAAAAGACAAATGGGTCAGATTGAAGGTTCGCATGTGAGCGGAAGGCAGCACCAGTTGGAGATGTGCCAGTGCAGCCTGGGCAGGCAGAAGAGTAGTCACAACCACACAAATGCCCGAGTTTGGATATTGTAAGATGCTCGTCCAATCCCTGGCCTCGACACGGATCTCAACCCGTTGTGTGGGTCCGTGCTCGGCAATCGACACCAGATTCGACGAAGCGCACAGCTCGTCTCCCGGTTCTCAACCCCCATTCATCATGAACATCGTCACATGCGGGACAAGAGTTTCTTTCTGTGAACAAAATTATTAAAATTTTCTTTAAAAAATACAATATGATTCTATATATATATATATATAGACATATCAATATCATGATAAAAAAAAAGTTTAAAATAAAATATTAAAATATATATATATATATATATATATATAGATGTATATAGATTGGGTATTGCTAATGCCATCAAAATCTATCACCCACTTGACATATTTATTTAGTTTTTTTAATCCCAATCATAAACTTGTAAGTAAATTATAAAATGCAAGTACTATTCAATGGAAAAAATTTGATTGCATTTTTTCTATTTTTAATTAGATAAACATATTGAGTAGGTGGTAGATTGTGGTGGCAATAGCAAAAATTGTAGAGGCATTAGTGATATCTAACATATATATATATATATATATATATATTTATACATATACACTAGGAATTAAGGGCTGGATATCCAAACAAAGAAGTTACAAGAATGTCAAATAGTGAAAACAAAGTTAAATTATTGATTTTATATATGAATAATATACTAAGGCGGTGTTTTTAAATATCAAATATAAGCATATAAAATAAATAAAGAAATCAATGAAATTTAAGGCAATAAAGATTCTTCTATATAATAGGATTCTAAAATACAAGACATGTATTTTAACAAGATAACAAGAACTATTTCAACAATGCAAATCTACATACTATAATATCTTGGCAACAACATATATCCATAAATAACAATTGACATACAATAGACACATTACAAAATTTAATAACTAAACCTTAAATAATAGCTAAAGAAGTCAATAATTTAAAAGAAATAAGCATAGATTATAACAAATCTCTAACATTAAAAAAAATAAAAAAAAATAAATAATAATAAATAAATAAAATAACAACAACAACAACAACAACAATAATAACAATCAAATTATTTATAAACAAGATGTAACAAAATGATGTTATTTTATATGCAACATATTCTAAACATGAATTTTTTGTTATAAATTTTCAAATGTGTGAACTTGTTGAGTGTAGTATCAAATGTCTATTTAGAAGACCTATAATATCATTTAACAAATATAAGTAAAATGATTTTACGAAATAAAATTTTAAAGTATTAAGAATTAGTGACATATTTGATATTTTTAGATTAGAACGTGAGAAAATTATATAATACAATATATATAAAAATAACAAAATAAGAACAAACAAATAAAATATCTCGTGAAATTTGTATCTAATGCAAGTGTAGCAAAAAAAGAATTCTCATAAAGAATTATTTTAAAACAAGAAATATTATAAAGTTACAATATTTTGATGTTTTAAACTACTTATAGATAATCTTTTAAGAAGATTTAGAGATTTTGTTACATTAGTTAGTTACTTTGTAAAAAGAATTTGATGCAATTTCTAAATTACTTATATAGATACTTTTAAAAAATATTGTGCATTTCATAAACAAGCTAAATGATCTAAAAGGAAAAAGAAATAACAATCTTCTGCAGTAAAAAATAAATAATAAAATTAAAAATCTTTAAAAAGTATTAAAAATAATAAATTTATTTGTGTCAATGTTTTTAATAACATTCTCTACCCAAAAACAAAGTTGTTAAACAATAAAATAAAATTCTATTTGATATATTAAAGAACACACTTATAAAAGTAGATGTTTTTACTTTCTTATACAAAAAAGTTAAACAAGTGATTAGAAATCTACATACTTTTTAACTAAGAAACAAAAATCTAGACAATAATTCAAACAAAAAATTACAAGAAAAAGAATTTTAGCCATATATATATATATATATATATATAATTTTTATAAAAAAACTAATATAATAAGAATAAAATAAAGAAAAAAAATATTATATAAAACTAGCCATCATTTATAAGATTTTGAATAATCATTTCTTGATTTGATTGTGGATAAATACCACCTAACAAATTATCATCTACAACAAGTCTTATTTTTATAGAAGACTTCTTTCTTTCTTTCTTTTATTTTTTTTTAATTTGATAAATCTTGTAAAACTTAGAAGAATGTTTATATAATAAAGAGGCTTTGTGGAATGATAAAGGTGGATCTCTATGTTCAATATGTTCTTAATCAAATTTTGCATATGATATTTCTAAGCATTTCATCTCTTGAATTAATTTGACTTTTCAAATAGTGTTCAAATGTTTTGAGGTATCATATCTTTTGTTTGGCTACCCTTTTAGACAATAATCATCACCCTTGAATTATAGACTTCCAAATTAATTAAACTACATAATATTGTTTAGATCTATTCTATTTTTATTCATTTGGATGAACATTAATTTCAAATATTTATCTTTCCATTATCTAGTTTGGAGATTGATTCTTGGTGATCTTATTTGAATGCACACTCATATTAAATAATCAAACTAACAATAAAAACCAATATTTACATAAAAACATACATAATTTATTTTTGATATTTATTAATATTGCTTTCAAATATTAAACCAAGCAATGTTCCGGATATAGCCTTTAAGTGTCAAATATATATATATATATATATACATAAATACAAATATATATATATATATAAATACAAATATATATATATATATATATATGTACATAAATACAAATATATATATATATATATATGTACATAAATAAAAAAAATATATATATATATATATATATACATAAATACAAATATATATATATATATATATATATACATAAATACATGGGAATGTTAAATAGATCCATGCTTTTACTAAATAGACCCACCCTTGTTGAAAAATATGGTAATCATGATAAATGTGGTTAATTTTCATTGGTTGCCTATCCAATAATAAAGAAATGAAATTAGGATAGATGGGTTGATTTAGTTAAAACTTGGGTGTATTCAACATTCCCATACACCGAAGAAGGGATCATCGACAGCCCTACCGCAGTGGGATTGAACCCCGTCTCAATGGCTGCGGAGCAAAGCGGCTCGGTTTTCTTATCCAGAGCTGCTGCAGGTGCCAATGGAGGCCCGAGGACCAGATAGGATAGCGGATAGGATGCCACCCCCTCCTGTCGCATGCGCTCCCTCTCGCGAAATACAACCGAGAATTTCTCTCCTGTCGGAAGCCATCCACCCCTTCTCGCTGTGTGCTTTTGTGGGTTTCATGCTCAGTCCGAGGTGCTTCGCCATCGTCTCTTCCCTTCTCTTCAATTCCACGGATCCAAGTCGCTCATCTTGCCACATTCTTCCCACCTGTCACTAGCTTCTTGCTACGCCGACACGCCCGCGTGCTTGACTTCCCCGCGATCTCGACAATGGCAGCCGCTGTTGCCACTAGCAGCGCTGTTTCTGCCTTCGCTGCCAAAGTGACTTCGTCTTCCCTTGTAAGCACGCGTTTGACAAACCTGATATCACTTTGGGGTATTTTGTTCCTTTGCTCGGTCTACTCTCACTGAATGATCTGGTCACTCTTTGTGTATCGTGGGGGTGGTACTACTGTACCGGTCGCATTGCCGGCGATGATCATTAGAAGACGCCTTTGCAGATGCTTGACTGTAGTTAGAATCCGGTCAAACTGTAACCATGGTGTATCCATGGAGTCTTCACTTAGGGAATTCTCCAAGTGCATGAGTGCGAGACCCTCAGGAATTTACATAACGCCAAAGACCTTAGTCAACGGAAAATGAATCTGTGAAGGGACACGACGCTTTGAGTGTATCGTCTCACAACTTTGCCGTGTTCAATCCCTTCGTCGGAATTACGAATGAACTCAAATATTTCTTGTACTTCATGAAATGTTTTGCACTTACCGGTGGACACACTGTTGGGCGCACTGTTGGGCGCACTGCTGGGCACAAGGTTGCAATTCCATTGCTGGGTGCTAACTGCTCAATGTATCCCTTTCAGGAGGGAAAGAGGAGCTCTGTATTCGGCGCCAATTTGCCATGCACTGTCGACCTTGTGTCTCAGAACTGTTCATCATCCACCAGGACTGTCATCACCAAGGCTCAGCTTAGTCCCACTGTAATTCTTCTCTCACCCTTAAACCTGCATAGCTGTGCCTGACCATGCTGTGCAATCTAACTAGGTCATGACAATCCTTCAAGCTGGTACAGCTGCACTTGATTGTTATTTCTTACCATCACATCTATTCGCTGGTTGCAGGGTGGGAGCAAGAGGAGCCTGATCTTTGCCTCCAAGCAAAGCCTGTCTTACCTTGATGGCACGTGAGTAAATCTGCCACTCAGTGCCCTACAGGGGATTTTCCAGCCCATGCACATCCCAGCTGATTGTTCAACTTACATGCGTGCTTGATTACCGTCCAGTAGCACCCTAATGTGCTCGTCTGTGGGTTCCGATGCAGCTTGCCCGGCGACTATGGGTTTGATCCGTTGGGCCTGATGGACCCCGAGGGTGCCGGTGGCTTCATCGACCCCCAGTGGCTCCCATACGCCGAGATCATCAACGGGCGGTTCGCCATGCTGGGAGCGGCCGGTGCCATCGCACCTGAGGTGCTGGGGAGAATCGGGCTGATCCCGCAGGAGACCGCCATCCCGTGGTTCCAGAGCGGCGTGATCCCGCCCGTGGGCAACTACAGCTACTGGGCCGACCCGTACACGCTGTTCGTGCTGGAGATGGCGTTGATGGGATTCGCGGAGCACCGACGCGCGCAGGACTACTACAAGCCCGGATCGATGGGCAAGCAGTACTTTTTGGGGCTGGAGAAGTTTTTGGGAGGATCGGGCAACCCGGCGTACCCAGGAGGGCCCATCTTCAACTTCTTGGGATTCGGGAAGAACGAGAAGGAGTTGCAGGAGCTGAAGGTGAAGGAGGTCAAGAACGGGCGGTTGGCGATGATGGCGGTGTTGGGGTACTTCACCCAGGCCATCTTCACAGGCGTGGGCCCGTTCCAGAACCTACTGGACCACTTGGCGGACCCCGTGCACAACAACGTGCTGACGAACCTGAAGATCCACTAGAGTGTAGGCAGGAGCTACAGAACAGGATAGAATCCTTGTAACATGGTTGCGTGTGGAGGAGTGATCTGCTCCGGAATCTGTCGAAATTGTTGCCAAAGGCTTAGGAATGTAAATGAATTTTGTTTTTCTTTCAAGCTACGCTCAATTACGGACTACCACCGTGCTGATTACTTCTGTCTCATACCTGCATTATCCAATGCGCCAACGTTGACTATATCCGTATTGCAGCCAATTTTCAGTCATTCCCTCCTCTGTGTTCTTACTCAACACACAGTATTCCATATGAATGACTTCTGATAACAATGTGCCTTCTGCAATCAAGTTTCGTACACCCTAAATACGACTACGATGAAGAATCCTTTATGCTACGCGTGCACATGTAAAAGAGTGGTTATTGAAGGAACATGTAGGTGTACATCTGATAATGCAAAGTAACAAAAACTCTCATGGCGAGCCATATCGCCCGTTCTGCAACAACGAATCTGATGAAGATCTTGAAAATGAAAGTTTGAGTGGAAAGGAGATCACTGACGCGTGTTGCAATGAAACTCAGAAACCACAAATGCTATTGCTACAGTTACGCTTTCACATGTTCCTCGAGTACGCTTTTGTTCAATCCTTGATCGCAATTTTGCAGCTATTTGTAGTTGGAACTTGGGTGTATTTGTAGTTGGATCTGTACAGGTATGGCCCCAATCAAATAAGTGATTTGGATTAAGAGTTGTAGTTGGGTAGTTGGAGATTTTACAAAATATCATATGTTTGTGAGTAAACTAGATAGAGTTACATCCTTATCCTAATTGTACATAACATCCTAATTGTAGCTCCTAACGTCCCTATTAATCATTACTCCGGTCCCGAAGAACAACACGAACAGGACCAGAGTCCTATCACGTTATTCCATACTAATGTATTCAGACATAGGCTTGCTTTGAGCACTATAATTTTTTCAAAGTAACATCGCCGACTCCGCGTCCCGATTAATTAAAACCAGGAGTGCGTCCCCGGCAAGAAGGCCGAGTGGACCAGTGCACACCCACAAGGGGCGGACCGCTCCCCCCGACCCAAGATCCAACTACGAGCTTTTTAACTGCAACAACTTAAATATACGCTATTGGAGCTGGAATCACCTAATATACGCTAATTGTACATAACACATGTTAGTAGCAAAATATGTAAGGAAGTTGTAGGCCAATATAGAATGTGTGTGTTTGAAAATGATCGGAGGTTATATTAGTTAGAGGTTCCATCCAACATTCAATAAATAAAGAATCTGTTTACAATATTGTAGCTATTACAAACATCTAGCTTATCAATTTGTACAAAAAAGCACTTAAAAAAACATTACCAACTTATTTTTTTGTAGAACTTTTGAGGTTTGCACTTACAAAATTATCTTCCTTGTTTTTGAAATTAATTAATATTGGCATTATTAAGCAACAAATATATTATTTAGAAAAATTTATATTAATTGTATGATTTGTAAGAAATAGTCCTTTAAATTTAGTAATTTAGAAATAATTCTCCAACCTAAAAACAAAGTAGATTATTTTCTAAAAATAATATGAATACTAGATATGAGATATATTTTATTAGAAAAAAATTTCTAATCATAATATAAATACTTTGACTTTTTAATTTTTATAATTCTAATTTTGAAATGTATAAAAATAGACTTTATATTTTAATTCATATAATTCAAGTCCTTTACAAATTTAAGTTAGGATTATAATTTAAATAATATTTTGCAAGTTAATTAATAAATTTAAGACAATGAGTATTGTCTTAGCTAAATAACTTAGAATATTATTAGAAAAATATAAAATAATAAAGTCAATTTAGATATCTTATTTTTTACTATCACAAATTTTAAAAAATAATAAAAATCTTCATATAGAGTATTGAATTCTATAGAAAAAAAAAAAAAAAAAAAAAAAAACCTTAAAAGACTACAATCACTTTTTAATTGAATATAGATATTTCCTTGATACAAATCATAGCACAAAAATTATAATACTGAAAAAAATTAAAAATCTAAAAAAGATACTTAGTACAACAATAATACAATTTTATAACTTATAAATTCAACATCTTTAGATCTATATTTTTATAACATAGATAGATTTGTGGTTGTTTGTAATAAAAATAATAATTGAAATAAAGAATAGATATTCATCATGATATAATAGTAGCTCTCTAAATTAAAGTATATATTATAAACTCAATGATTATTCTGAAAATTAGATTTAAAAATAGGTGAGATTGATTCTAAATAACTTCTTCATAATAGATATTATACAAATTTAATATAATAAAAAAACTCAATTTATCATATAATTATTATTTTAAGATAAATCTAAAAAAAGAAAAATCAAAAACTATTATTATAATATATTTAATCAAAGTATCTCATGGATTAATACTTAAGAATTTTATTTATTTCATGTGCAAGTTGTAATGGTGTCTAAGATAAGAAGAAGAAGAATATAAATAAATAATTGAAATATTTCTTAAAGAAAGATAGAAAAAATAAATATAAGTAAATTTCTATATTCAAGAAGATATTTGAATGACTTTTGTCAAAAGATAAGAAAACTAGAAACTCCTAAAATTAGAATAGAAGAAAGAAAAGAATTAATAAGAGTGAAAAAAGGCCTCACTCTTGTTTTTATATATATTATCTAACTAGGAGCTACCTGACAATATTGTCATGATGTAATACGGCTAATGAATGGAAGAAAGAAGAAAACATTATATTATAGAATATTTTATTTTAAAATATTATAAAAAATTATCTAAGAAATACAGATAATAGTAAAAAAGATACTAAAATTAAAAAGTCCTAATGCTATCTTTTTACAAAATAGGCTTCTATTTATTTTGTAGGGCCATAAAAAGGCACAACAAAGTAGATTGGAAAATTAAATGATATACACTAGTATAGGAGAGAATTAAAAGTAGTTTTTAGCAAAATTTACCTCAAGAAGCTTAGAATTGATACTTAGAGAGGATCAGTTGTCAATCAAGATCAAAATCAGATCCCAAGGCACAAAACCATGTATCTATTATGACTTTGGGGTTCTTGGGTAGATCAAAGAGTAGGATTTGAGAATTTCAATGGAAAAGAGAACAAAGAAAAGCTATGGAAAAATTAAAAGAACTTCTTTTTTCACCTCCAATTTTGAAGAAAGTAAATTATGAATGTGGAAGGTCAATGATATTAACAGTTGATGCAAGTCAAATTGGAATAGATTGGACAGTTAGACAAGATGATGAATAAGGGAATAGATATGTAGTAAGGTTTGAAACAAAGGTTTTTAATGCTAGATAGAGGGTGTATGCACAAATCAAAAGAAAATTATAGAGTATAGTAATAGTTATGAAAAATAAAAATATATATATTTAATTAATAAATCAATAGTTATAAAAATAGATTATTTATCTTTATTAGGCATGATAAGAAGTTATTTAACTCGTGATATTACTATATTAAGATAGATAGCATATATCAAATGTATGAATCTAAAATTTAAATACATTACAAAGAAAAAAAATTCAATTGTAGATATGTTATTAAGAACAAGGTATTACAATAAAGAAGATATGGTTGATTTGGAAGATGATGTGGATACAAATTTTTACATTAATACATTATCAAAGAAAAAGGATGTATGTTTGATTATACCATTGGAAAAATTTCAAGAGATTTATATGAAGGAGAATAAAAAGCTATTGAAAAGTATATTAAAGCGATAAGAGGATTGAACAGATTAAGAATTTAAGAAAATTCATTGTTGTATGGTATGATTTTCTATCTTAGAATATACCAAATACCTTGTTGTAGAGAATTTAGCTTTAACTTATTGAACAAGTTCCAATAAATGATGTATTCTTATTATATAAGCCAAATAAATATAATAATATCAAAAGATATTCTATTGATAAAATACTTTTATATTTAAGAAGCTTTATACATAAGGCTTTTTAAAGTATTTAAAAATATTGTAACATCCTTTGCTATCCCAAATAATAACTAACTAATTGTTGGTGCGTTTGATTTTTCATAAGCTCAAAGAAAATCCATAATCTTCTTACAAAAATCTATCTTTATATCATAATTTTTTCATACCTCCACATCTCTATCTTTAACATATATATAAAGTCTTAACTTCCAAAAATCCCTTTAATTTTCATAAAATACTCAAATTGTTGCAAAATCCTTTCAAAATATTTTTCTAAGGCAAAAGATTTTTTTTCTCCAAACTTTAGAAATTCATATTTCTTGATTTAATCTTTCAATTTTTTTCAAGTTTCTAAATGATATAGACTTTATCTTTAAGTTTTATCACAAAAATATTAATTGTAAATCTACTATGGATTGTTTGGCATCTTAGAAATACTAATAGGTCCTTTAAATTCTAATTTATAAGCATTTAAATATATATATTTTTTTATATCTCAAAAATCCTGATCAAAATGCCAAAAAATTTATATATAAAGTTTAGTAACATGATAACATACATTTTTTAAAAAAAATTAGCTAAAATCTTGTCAAATTTTTGAAGATATAGCTCAAAACACAACCACTAGTAAATCGGATCACTTATTGCCTTTAGATTGCAAGTACTAACTTCAACTTCCTATAATTCCTTCATCTTAGCTTAAAATCATCAAGAAATATGCAAAAAGTGTAATTGAAGAAGTGATTTCTTCAATTCTAATTGTTGATTGTTTATCACTATTCATACACGTGCATTATATCCAAAAGAGTGACAATAGATATAAAACCAACTCCTTAACTTTGAGCGCCTATATCTCTTTTATAAATACTTTTAAATCACTCAAAATTTACACAAAAACCATAGCCAAAAACCTATTTTTTTTTATTTTTAATCTTAGCCTCTCAAGTTCAAATCCTTACAAAAGAGTAATCCTAATCCCTAATAAGGCCTTAAGCAGCTTCTTTGAAGCCCATTGGGCATGCCTTTCAGCCAATAGCAATAGAGATTTTTATCATCTATCTCCATTCATCTATATAGATGCCTTAACTATTCTTTTTGCTACCAAAATCCCTCTCCAAATCTTTTTTGTATAAGATTTATATAATATATGTCCAAAACACCAAATGAAAGAAACAAAATAAGATTTCAAGGAT